CTCGCCCCGCCCCCGGGCCCCGCCCCGCCCCGCCCCGCCCCGCGCCCTTAAATGCCGGCCGCTCGACGCCCGCCCGGCTTTCCGCGGTGGATGCTCTGCTCCGGATGTGGCGGGACCGTCGCTCGGCGTTGTGAGGAACCTCGGTCTGGGGACCGCTCCTGGCGCTGCGCGGAGCCCAAGGCACTGAGGTACGCCTGGGACCCCGTCGGCGCCGCCGGTGCCGGAACCCCACCGGCACCGGCGGCGCCGGCCCCGGGACCCCGTCGGCGCCGGCGTCGCCGGCCCCGGGACCCCGTCGGCGCCGCCGGCCCCGGGACCCGCGCCGCCGGCCCCGGGACCCGTCCGCACCGCCGGTCCCCCGGGACCCCGTCGGCGCCGGCGTCGCCGGCCCCGGGACCCCGTCGGCGCCGACGGCCCCGGGGCTCGGTCGGGGCCGCCGGTACCGGGCGCGGGACCCGGTCGGAGCCGCCGGCCCTCGGGACCCCTTCGGCACCGGCGGCCCCCGGAATCCCTTCGGCGCCGCCGGCCCCGGGACCTCGTCGGCGCCGCCGGTCCCGGGACTCCGTCGGGACCACTGGCCCCGGGACCTCGTCGGCACCGCCGGTGCCGGCACCGGGACCCCTCCGGTACCGCCGGTGCCGGCCCCGGGATCCCTTCGGCACCGCCGGTCTCGGGACGCCGTCGGGACCGCCGGCCCTCGGGACCCCGTCGGCACCGCCGGTGCCGGCCCCGGGACCCCGTCCGCACCGCCGGCCCCCGGGATCCCTTCGGCGCCGCCGGCCCCGGGACCACGTGGGCACCGCTGGCCCCGGGACCTCGTCGGCGCCGCCGGCCCCGGGACCCCGTCGGCGCCGCCGGCCCCGGGACCCGTCCGCACCGCCGGTCCCCCGGGACCTCGTCGGCACCGCCGGTGCCGGCCCCGGGACCCCGTCGGCGCCGACGGCCCCGGGGCTCGGTCGGGGCCGCCGGCCCCGGGACCCCGTCGGCGCCGCCGGCCCCGGGACCCGTCCGCACCGCCGGTCCCCCGGGACCTCGTCGGCGCCGCCGGTCCCGGGACTCCGTCGGGACCACTGGCCCCGGGACCTCGTCGGCACCGCCGGTCCCCGGAATCCCTTCGGCGCCGCCGGCCCCGGGACCTCGTCGGCACCGCCGGTGCCGGCCCCGGGATCCCTTCGGCACCGACGGTGCCGAGCCCGGGACCTCGTCGGCGCCGCCGGCCCCGGGACCCGTCCGCACCGCCGGTCCCCCGGGACCTCGTCGGCACC